TTTGGGGGTCCTGTAAAGTGGACAGGCTGACGAAATGAAGCTGTTCGGGTGACCTGAAAGTTCTGATAGTCCGTAGGATTTTGGAGTTGCAAGGTAAAGTTGCACTGACGAAGCAGTAGGTGCTCTAGACGTAGGCCTGAGGACAGATTGAGCTGGAAGCATAATGGGGCCCGAAAAGTTAAAACAGTGTTTGTGGTTACAGGGCCATGCATGGGTTTGTAATTACTTATGAATGGAGTAAGGCTGGAAACGTAGGACTGTAGAAGCTGTACTGCACGTCCCGTCCAAGTACTTTTGGTCATGATAGTGATGCGGAAATTGGCCACTGACTGCATATTTAAGAGTTGGAAGGGGCTTTTTCCTTCATAGCGAGGGTAATAGATTAATTTGGTAAGAACCCAGTCCTTTGTGGGGACGGGTGTGGCAGTATAAGTGGCAGCTGATAGAGAGACGCAAAGCTGGCAATCCTTTGCTAGGTCTGGGTTGGATTGGTTCAACAGAGAATGTGTTAAGGGTCTTGTCTAGGTAGCTGGGTACAACAGGAAGGGGAGGTGCAGTTGCGTGGGGTAGCGAAGAGAGTAGGAGGGATAGACAGGCAAAGAGTGAGTAGAAACGTAAACAGTTGTGCTTCATTGGGGGAGAAGTTACACAGGGTGCCTTGGAAAAAAAGGTCATCTATCCACTGTAAAAGAGAGTCATGGGTAGCAGCCTGGGGGTGGAACCAGGAAAAGTCCTGGCAAACAGTGGAGGAAGAGGGGAAAGCAGCAAGGTAGACAGGAGCAGGACATTCAGGTCTCTTCGGGAATTTGGATAAGTTTTAGAGAGATTGGGGAGAGTACCTGCGACTTCCAAGAGGATGTGGAAGAGTCAGGCTGATTGTCTGATGGACACAGCTTTACCCTGGAGCAGGGAACCCACTGTGGGGGGTCTTGCAAGTAGACAGCAGTTGGGGTGCTGTAAACGACCAGGAAGGGTCCTGTCCACCGTGGTTGTAGAGACCTAGGGGTCAGGCTCTTTATCAGAACTGACTGTCCAGTTAGAGTGTCCTTATAAGGCTGGGTATCTGGAGTGGGTAAGAGAAGATTGGCAGCCTTGAGGATTTCATGTCTAGCCTGTTGGAGGACTGGAAGATAGTCCCCAAGAGGACTGGTGCCTGGGATATGGTTGGGCCCAAGCAGAAAGGTGCGACCATATAGGAGTTCAAATGGGCTGTACTTAATGGGTACTCAGAGCATGGCTCGAATCTGGAGGAATGCAAGGGGTTTGAAGGACAGTCCAGTACTTTTTGAGCTGGAGGGTAAGTTTGGTAAGATGTGTTTTTAAGAGGCAGTTGGTTCTTTCTACTTCTTCTGAGGACTGAGGGTGGTATGGAGCATGGAGATTCCACTGGATGCCGAGGGCCTGGGAAACTGCTTGGATGACCTGGCTAATGAAGGCTGGTTCGTTATCAGACTGTATGGAAGTAGGGTGGCTGAATCGGGGGATTATGTCTGTTAGAAGGAAAGAAGTGAACGCAGTGGCTTTTTCAGACCTGGTGAGAAAGGCCTCAACCCACCCAGTGACGGTATCAACCCAGACTAGGAGGTGTTTGAACTTTCGACACGGGACATATGAGTAAAGTCTATTTGCCAAGCTTGTGCAGGGTAAACCCTGGGGCCTGATGCACAGGAAAAGGAGGGGGGTGCGGGTCTGAGAAAGCCCTGGGGAGTAGTAGAGTGGCAGATAGAACATTGAGCTGTGATTGTATTGTTTTTGTTTTTGAGATGGAGTCTTGCTCTGTCACCCAGGCTGGAATACAATGGGATTATAGGCGCACGCCACTGTACCCATCTAACTTTTGTATTTTTAGTAGAGACGGGGTTTCACAATGTTGGTCAGGCTGGTCTTGAACTCCTGACCTGGTGATCTGCCCACCTTGGCCTCCCAAAGTAATGGAATTACTGGCGTCAGCCATCTCGCCCAGCTGAGATGTGATTATTTTGAGGACAGAATTCCATGGAAAAGAAATGAGGAGTTCTAAAAGGTGGGCTAGGGGCTTGTAACCTACCTGGAAGCAATCATGAAAGGATGAGAGGATAGAGCGGGCTTGTTTTCCATGGTCTCAGAATCATTTGCCTTGGGTAGGAAGTGACTGGTAGAGTGAGGTTTCGGAGGAAGAGTAGATAGGAGTGACAGGTGAGAAGGAGAAATATTGGCTTCATGGGGCACATACTAGAGTGTCTGCTGCTTCTTTGGTTGTTTTGTTGGCATAGGCGTTTCCTTGGGCAATGGGGTCCAAACCTGCTCCCTTTCTTCAGGAGTGAGAGAAGTGAGGATGACATTTAAGTCACTCCAGGTGAGATTATAAGACTGGGTTAAGTATTGAAACTCTTGTATACATTTGGTAGGGTCTAACGGGAAAGAGCCTAGGTGCTGACTGATTTGGGAAAGATCAGAGAGAAAGGGATGTACACTGGACCGGGACTATTCCTTCAGCCCTGGCCACTTCTCGAAGGGGAAATTGTTGGACAGGGCTGGGGGAATTAGCTGTGGGACCAAATTGTAAACTGGACGGGTATGAGCTAGGATGGTAATAGGAGGGGCATAAAGATGCAGGTTGTGGACAGAAGAGGAGTTAGACTCTGAGGGAGGATTAGGACTTGGTTCGGAGGATCAGAAGGATTGATGGACAAATGAGGATTCAGTGTCAGTGGCGGGGGTGGGGTGAGGGGGCAGGTGTTAAGGAGTGGAAGGAGGTGAGAGGAGGAGAGTCACATGGGAACAGAGATTAGGCAGGGACTGAAGTGTAAAAAAATGCCTGGATGTATGGCACTTCAGACCATTTGCCCATTCTATGACAAAAACTAAGTCCTGAAAAATAGAAAAATCAAAAGTGCCATCTTCTGGCCACTGAGAACCACTGTCTAATTTACGTTGGGGGCCAGGCCGTATTACAGAAAAAAATGAGACATTTAGGCTTCAGATCGGGTGAAAGTTGAAGAAGTTTTAGATTCTTGAGGACACAGGCCAGGGGAGAAGAGGGAGGGATGGAGGGCGGAAGGTTGCCCATGATAAAGTGGAGGCGTTAAAGGAGAAGATAGGGCGGAGGAGGAGAGCAACCACTAGGATCCTCAGCGGGCGTCCCTAACTGGGGTCCTGGGCTGTACCGCTGGCGAATGGCCAAGGCGGGCGTTCTGGCTGTTGACCAGACACCCAAGGGAAGACTGTCTTTCCGAGGAGAGTCCGTGACCAAAGTTATATTTCTCGATGCGCGAATAGGAGGTATCCTCTTTGTCTCTAATTAGGAAGAGGAGGCAGGCTCGGTGGCTCACGCCTGTAATCCCAGCACTTTGGGAGGTCTAGGCGGACGGATCACGAGGTCAGGAGTTCGAGAACAGCCTGGCCAATATGGTGAAACTCTGTCTCCACTAACAATACAAAAATCAGCAGGGCGTAGTGGTGCGGCCGGTAGTTCCAAGTACTCAGGAGGCTGAGGCAGGAGAATCGTTTGAACCCGGGAGGCGGAGGTTTCAGTGAGCCGAGATCGCGCCACTGCACTCCAGCCTGGGTGAGAGAGAGAGTCTGTCTAACAGAGTCAGAGAGAGAGAGAGAGAGAGAGAGAGAGAGAGAGAGAGAGAGAGAGAGAGAGAAAGAGAATGAAAAGGTTTGAAGAGAAATGGAAACTGCTTACCCGAAGACAAAGGCGGGGGTTCTACGGGCCGGTCAGAAGTGATGGGAGGGCTTTTCAAGGAGGGAGAGCGAGGATAGGGGACAGATCTGCCGAAGGAGTTCCCCTATCCCGGTTTGGGCACCAAAATGTTAAGCGCGCATCCGATTGAAGAGACAACCCAAACAGGCTTTGTGTGAGCAACCTTCGGGCTAGGAAACAAAAATGCCCGCCCTCACCTAAGTCCGTGGGGGTGGTGCCCTAGCCAGGGACCACGCCCTCCTCTACCCAGCACTTGCCTCCCCCACTTTTGTATCATTTAAAAGGACCATGGTGTTCCCTTCCTAGTACTTCTGTATCACCATCCCTAGAGATTCTGATAGAAAGAGCACAGGAGAAGAAAGGTCTTGTTTTGTTGCAGTTCCTGCCCGCTCTGGAGGCTGGCTGCACTGTATATGAATGTACCCATCTTTGGTGGTGGGTTACGGGGTGCAGAGGCAGGGGCAGGTGCAGATAACTCCTCTATAGTTGCTTTAAACACTCAGGTCTCGTGGGAGATGTCATCTAAAGGGCCTTCCATAATGAAAACAAAGATGTCTCGAGGAGGTTAAGAAAAAGTGTAGGCGAGGACGAGGTTGAGACGGTTCTTGGAATCACCCCTGCCACCCCAAACTTAACACCTGCCCTTGAAGTGTGCGTGCAGCTCACACACGCGAATTAGTGTGTAATACACCTTGGCAGGTCCCTGGAGCTCATGCACGCACGTCCGTCACAAAGGATTTGAAAGGGACAATTAGATGACACTCTGAAACACTTGAGGCCTCCATGATTGGGGGTAGCGTGGTAGGTTTTCTGGTTTTGTTTTTGAGATCAGGTCTTTTCCTGCGTTGGCCAGGCTGGAGGATAGTGGCTACTCACAGGCGAGTCCACTACAGCCCCATCCTCCTGGGCTGGAGATCCCGCCTTAGCCTTCTGAGTAGCTGAGGCTACAGAAGCGCGCCACCGCGCCCAGCTGCAGTGACTTTTAAAGAGCCTTTTGTATTTCCTTTAACCATTATTTTCAAATATGCAAATCACTCCTGAAAATACGTTCTTCTTTTGAAAAATAAAAGAGGAAGGGGGAAATGTAAAAAAGAAAGGAAAACCAGAAAAACTTTTCCCATTCCCAGCGTAACCACGGCTATCGTGTGTTTGCTTCCAGGACTTTTCTTTTGTATGTTTACATACAGACAGTGCATGCTTTCTCGCGCTTCACATAAACGCCCATCCCACCTTAAAGATGGTTTTACAACCTGCTGACTTTACGGAGTGTCGTAAAGTCCCGTCCACTTCAGCGTGTGTCCCACCGCAGCACAGAAGGCCACGTGGGCTGTTCTAACCCTGGCGGCCAAGGCGGCGGTGGCAGGTCCTGAAGCCTGCGGGCGGGGACGACGACGGCGCTGGACGATGATGCACCGCGGCGTACGCGGTGACGCAGAAGTTGCGGCGCAGGGGCGGAGCGAAGGCTGCGGCTGCGTCGGGAGCGCGCACACGTTGCATCTTCTTGCTTTCGCCGGGTCCTGCGTGGTTTTGGCATCAGCCAGGCGGACTGATAGGTAGACCTGCGGACTAGTGGAGATGGCGACGCTCTGTCTGACCGTGAATTCAGGAGACCCTCCCCTGGGTAAGGGGCCGAGGCCAATAACCCGTGTGGGTTGCATCAGCCAGGGAGGGTGCGGGGCGAGGAAGGTCGCGCTGCGCCCCGGCTTTGCGCAGTGGTGGTCACCATCTGGGAGGTTGGGCCTGCCCTTCGCCCCAGTATTGTGCTTGGAGGAGGCTCCGCGCCCCACGCCCCCTGGTCCCCGGCAGGTGCATCTGCTTCTGAAGATGGTTTTCCTGGGCGTGGAGGGAGGCACGGTGTGAGCCTGGGCTAGGCAACACGAGACTGCGCTTCGGACCTTCTCAGAGGGATGAACTCCCAGTCAACTCATCTCTCTGTTTTTTCCCCGGAGACCGAGAGCTGCTCTTGGAAACAACATTTTAAAACTTAAAATCCAATTATCTTCGCTTCTCTTTTAGCATTTTTCCCTCTGAGTCTCCTTGTCTTGCCTCCTTTCTCGCCCTCTCCTCTCGGGAGAAATTCTCAGTTCACTTGAGTCAATTTTTCCTTAGGTTTTATCGAGTTGAGAAGAAACAAGCCAGACAAACGTGTTAGCATTTATGATTTCAACTGAGGCTGCATTTATTTTTAATTAAAGGTGGTAGGGTAATTGAGGAAAACACCCAGGTATACTGCAGACTGATGCGGTTGCTTTTACTACACCGTGTGGCTGTGTAGTAAATTTCAGAGTAAACACTGGACCTGTCACCTTCCTGAAACATCTTAAGTTCGGTTTGAAATTATTTTTTTCATGACCAAGGTTATTATTGGTATTGTTTAGAATTTCTTCTTTTTCATTACTTTGGGAAATTACACAGAAGAATTTAAGTAGTTTAATGGTTTTTTTTTTCTTTTGAGAGTCAGGGTCTTGCTCTGTCGTCCAGGCTGGAGTGCAGTGGCGCAATTAAGGCTCACTGCAGCCTCGAACTTCCGGGCTCCGGTGATTCCCCCCACCTCAGCATCCCAAAGAGCTGGGACTGCAGGTGCTTGCCACCATGCCTGGCTAATTTGTGTGTGTGTGTATTTTTTGGAAAGATGGCGTTTCACTATGTTGCCCAGGCTGGTCTCAAACTCCTGGGCTCAAGCCAACCTGCCTTGGCCTCCCAAAGTACTAGGATTACAGGCGTGAGCCATGGTACCCGGCGTGAGCCATGGTACCCGGCCTGACCTTTCCCTCCCGCCCCCGGAGACGGAGTCTTTCAGACTGGAGTGCCATGGTGCGATCTTGGCTCACTGCAACCTCCGCCTTCCGCGTTTAAATGAGTCTCCTGCCTCAGCCTTCTGAGTAGCTAGGATTACAGGCGCCCTCCACCACGCCCAGCTTTTTTGTATTTTTAGTAGAGACGGGTTTTACCGTATTGGCCAGGCTGGTCTTGAACCCCTGACCTTGTGATCCTCCTGCTTCGGCCTCCCAAAGTGTTGGGATTACAGACATGAGCCACCACCGATAGCCCCTCGCCTAATATTTGTTAATGCGTATTTATGATAATAGACACACAGTACTTTCTAATGTTCAAGAAGCCCATACCTTTATATATAATTGGCCACGTGGGGCTGATGAAATTATTCATTATGTTCTCAACTTTGGTGATGTTTTAAGGCTGTTGAACAAAAATATAACTTAATAGCCATTTTAAATATTTAAAAGATGGTGTTTTGGTATATTGGTTCCAGTAATTATGGATTAACTGCACAACAAATCAATAAACTCTAAACGAAATGGGTTTGATTGTTGGGCTGGAAAGGCACTAGAGTGTCCTCATGCTTGAAAGCAAAGACATTTGGTTCCTGCAGACCCCATTCCAATCCCAGCTGCCACTTATTATTAGTTGTGAAACCTTGACAGGTTTCTTTACCTTCTCCCACAGTTTCCTTAAGAAAGGGAGAATAATGTCTTCCACATAGGATTGGTTGCCAGAGTTAGTTGAGACTGTAGTTAAAGTTCCTGTTTTTTTTTTTTTTTTTTGAGACTGAGCTCATTGCAACCTCTGCCTCCCAGGATCAAGCGATTCTTGTTCTCAGCCACCTGAAGCAGCTGAGCTTACAAGTGCGTACCACCGCACCGCCTAATTTTTGTATTTTTTAGTAGAGACAGCGTTTCACCATGTTGGCCAGGCTGGCCTCAAACTCCTGACCTCAAACAGTCTCCCCGCCTTGGCCTCCCAAAGTGCCAGGACTACAGGTGTAAGCCACCATGCCCAGCCTCCTGATACATCTTTTGTTGCTTAGAAAATCAACCTAAAGGCGACCTGTTTCTGTAGTGTGTTACAGAACTCAGAATTCTGCCAGTATTCTATGAAACTCTTAGGTTTGTCGTTTTGAATTGTATGCCAATTATCAAACATATTATTTTTCTAATTGCTCCTTCCCCTTCTTTTTAATTTTTGATTTAGTTATTCCCAGTTGTTCAATCACATTTTATCTTTAAATAATACAATTAGATGAAACATTTTTTTAAAATAGGTTGCATTGCCAGAATTTTGCTATTTTATATGCATTCATCATGTTATGTATTTAATGTTAATTTCAAACTTACAACAAAGATGCAAGACTAGAACAAAGACCTTTCCCCCCACCACCCAAGAGCATACTGTAGATATGAGGTTTCAGTACCCCAGCAGAATTCCAGTGTACATCCTCAACAAACTTGGAAACTCCACATGATCTCACACAAGCCCCCAAATCAGGAAATGCACATGGATAGAGTGCTTCCATCTAATGCACAGACCCCATCCTTATTCTACCACTAATTGTTCCACAATACCCTCCATAGTGTTTGGATCAAAATCCTAGATTATGCTTTGTTTGCATCTAGATGTCACCTCTCTCCAGTTTCTTTCAGTCTGAAATTTTTACTAGTCTTACCTTGGCTTTTATAGCTTTGACCTTTCTGAAGATTACAGGCCACTTAACCTGAAGAATATCCCTTAAGTTGTCTGATATTTCCTGGTGTGTCTTTGGCAGGAATAGCATAGTTGTTCCTTGTTCTTCATTGTAGCCCATCAATGGGTACATTAATTTTCCCATTACTGATGATTCTAACCTTGATTTTAGTGGGGAGATGCTTTGGAATTATGTAAGCTTTCCACTTTGCATCAGACCTTCAGCTACTAGTTTCAGTATCCATTGATGCTTCCTGACTAACTTGATTTTTATGATGCTTGCCAAATAGTGACTTTCCAATTCTACCATTCCTTCTATATGTATTAGTTGGCATATTTTTGTAAGAAGAGCTTTCTCTTTCTGCCATTAAAAAAAAGTTGGCAGAGCATGGTGGCTCACACCTGTAATCCCAGCACTTTGGGAGGCCAAGGTGGGCAGATCACAAGGTAAGGAGTTCCAGACTAGCCTGACCAACATGGTGAAACCCCATCTCTACTAACAATACAAAAATTAGGACTTTAATCCCAGCTACTTGGGAGACTGAGGCAGGAGAATCAGAGAATTCGCTTGAACCCAGGAGGTGGAGGTTGCAGTGAGCCAAGGTCACACCACTGCACTCCAGCCTGGGTGACAGAGTGAGACTCTGTCTGAAGAAAAAAAGTCAAAGCAAAAATACTCAAGAAGTTACAATCTGTATTATTTTCTTTTTTTTTTTTTTTTTTT